CTTCTACTCCCTTTCGTTTAATGTATAAATTTGTACAAATTGTATTTAATTATATATTTTGAAATAAAGGAATAGAGGAAAGACCTCTCTTAAAAAAAAAATAAAATAAAAAAAATAAAATTAACCAAAAATTTATACAAATAGGATTTGGAGTTTATACCGATAAAAAAGGCCAGTTTCGTTTATGTTGTAGATTCTTTCAACAGGATAATTTGTATACTTATTTTTTATTAATAGCATAATATTGTTAATTTCTACCTTATCAGCAGATTTATCTTCTTCTTGAAGCTGGCACAAACGAATGCCATTTCAATTTTTGAATTTATAAAGCCAGCTAGAAGAGAAGCTTAGTGCTTCTTGAGGAATTCTTAAACTATCAGCGAGTGCCTTTGCTTTTTCAATAAGTAAAGTATCACTTAAAACTATCTAATGCTGATAAATTAGTACAAACTTCTTAAGGACAAGATCAAGTTCTGGGTAAGTGACAGTTCTGTAATACTTTCCATTAAAATTAACATTTGTATTTTCAAGTTTTTGTTTACTTGTCTTTAAGATATACGAAACTATGCTTTTATTAACTTCAAGGTCCCATTTTTTCTCAATCTAATCAACATATTGAGGTTGAGTTTTTTTATTATTATGAGTATAAACACAAAATTTATATTTTTAAGCATTAGTGAGAGTTGTTCTTTTAGGCATTTTTTCGAACAAAAAAAAGTTGATTACATATAAGATAAGTTATTTAAAGTTTTTTTTTTTTACTAAACATATTGTACAATTAGATAATAGTTTTTAATTAGTTTTTATTTTGTTTTTAAAGCATGTTATCTTTACAAACAAGTTAATGAAAATTTATATTACACAAAATTCTCACATTTAATTAATTTGATCTGTAATTAAAAAAAAATAAAAATTTTGCATTTCCTGTAATTAGTAAGTTCAAAAAAGACCATTAGATTTATTAGAATAGTATGAATAAATACACATAAAAATAGTCATTCGAAAGTAAGCTTTTTATTTTTATATATTTATCATGAGTTGTTTAATAATAAAGTTTACATTATACAAAGTGCTTATATACAAGTGATGTTTTATATAAGGCTTGATATCAAATTTTTAATTCTAAATACAAACCCAGAATTGAATTGGAATAGAAATGAAAATAATGTGATTTAATAATTTGAATTGATCGAATTTATAGTGATAAAATCTTAAAACGATACCAAATATGTCAATTTGAATGATTAGACTAGTAACTATGTATGCTTAATGTCTATATTTTCATGAATAGATTAAAAAAGCTCTTGGGGTTTAATTTCTCATTTTTGAATAGTATCTATACTTAATTAAATTAAGAAATAATAGTAATACAAATTTTAAATCATTTTCTACATATTGTATGTACATATATATATACATACATACTGTATATAAAAAAAAAGTATATGATTTTAACCTGTTGTGTTGTACATTTCTTGTCTTTTAAAAATAGAATATACAATTGTTTTATTCCTGCCTTACCAGATTCTATAAAGTGATTATTTACTAGTAAATATACAGTTTATTTAAAAATTTTCACTATCTTCAAATTTGGACTTGCTACTAGCTTTCAATACTGAATTAGAAATATTTCACAATGAATTCGATTGTAAAAAGTAAATTGTACATATTGATATAATTCATATGACAAATTTATACCTGTTAAGCCCTATTCCATTATCGTTATATACAACTTAACCAGATTTTTATTTATTTATTTTATCCTCTTTAAGTGCATATTTATATTCAATTTCTAATACATGCATTTAGAGGAGTTAATTCTATAAATGCATACTCTCTTTAAGTGTATATTTATATCCAGTCCCCAGAGCATACACTTAGAGAGGTGCGACTGTATAACCAGAGTTCGAATCCTACTAGTAATTGAATTTAAATTTTAGGCTATTATTATGACTATTCTGATATTGGGCTATTGGCCTGTAATCTTGATCATACTATATAGATTTGTAGAATACTCGAGTTGTACAAAATAATATAGAAGCTTATTTGGCATCTATAGAATGTTTGAGTTGTATAGAAGAATACAAGCCAGTTAATCAGCTTCTATAAAATATTCAAATTGCATAAAAAACAATTTAATTAAGATAGTACAAAATCAAAATAAGTTTAAAGAGGTGCAGAAATTTAAAAAACATTTAAATATAGAATAGAATTCTACTTGGCAAGTTCTAAATATAGTATACATCTAAGCATGATATAAAAATACAAACCAATATACTGTGTTTACTAGAACACTATATATAGTATAGCTGGCATAAACACATAATAAACCTATAAGAGCAAAAACACATGTATCTGGAAATGTGAGTCTAAATACTTGACAATCAAAAATACCATACACAGTAATATGTATATATATAAACAATTAAACAAATTATATACAAACACAACCACACTCACTATAAGTAAATAAAAACATATGTTTTCTACAAGATATCTAAAATCTGAGAATAGAACGTTAAAAATCTGGGTAACTAGGTTGAGGTAGTTCTCAAAGTATTAGCCACATCTGACCTAATTCTAAACTTCTTTATCTTCAATAAAAATTATAAATATAAAGCTATCTTTTTTAAACCCACACCAATTTCTTTATTTTAAGAACCAAAAAACTTTTTTACAAAACAAAATAAAACTGAAACAAATTCTAAAAGACAAGCTTACTATTTTTATATTTTTTTTTTTTTTTTTTTCCTTTGGTAACCACATACTAAAATTTTATTAAATATTTACTACTTAATATACATTAAGCTATTTAATAATCTAATTAGACTAAAACCCGGCT